AACCTCAATGGACCTTTCTCCAAACAGGACATACTGATAGCTAATAGACATAAGAAAAGATGCTCAATGTCACTAATCATCAGATAAATCAATGCAAATTAAAACCACAATGAGATATTACTTCATACCTGTCAGAATGGCTACCATCAAAAAATCAACAAACAAGTGCTGGCAAGGATGTAGGGAAAAGGGTACCCTCATTGCACGTTTGGTGGGAATGCAGACTGGTACAACTACTGAGGAAAGCAGTATGGTACTTCCTCAATAAAATAAAAATGGAATTGCCTTATAACCCAGTAATTGCACTTCTGGGAACATATCCAAAAAAACCCCTGAAATACTAGTTTTAAAAAGAAATATGCACCCCTATGCTTATTGCAGCATTATTTACAACAGCCAAGATTTGGAAACAGCTCAAGTTTCCATCAGTATGTGAGTGGATAAATAGAGCTGTGGTACATTTATATAATGGAGTACTACTTGACCATAAAAAAGAAGGAAATCTTACCCTTTGCGACAGAATGAATGGAACTGGAGAGTATTATCCTAAGTGAAATAAGGCAGTCAGAGAAAGATAAGCATCACTTAATTTCACTCATATGTGAAATCTAATGAACAAAATAAACTAATAAACAATATAGAAACAGATTCATAAATACAGAGAAGAAGCTGATACCTATTTGAGTGGAAAAGGTTGAGGGGCTGGGTAAAAAAGGTGAAAGGATTAAGTAACAATAAAAAATTCACAAACACAAATAACAGTATGGTGATTACAAAGGGAAAAAAGGAGTTTGGAAGGAGTTTGACTTGGATGATGAACATACAATATACAGAAGATATATTATAGAACTGTAGGCCCAGTTCCAATAAAATTTTATTAACCAATGTCACCCCAATAAAGTAAAAAAAAAAGGTTTGGGCAGAAAAAACAGCATATATACAAAGAAATTTATCTTTGATTCCAGGCACAAGGACATTGGAAATTACTGGATACTCAGCATGATGTGCCTAGCTCTAGTCTGTATATCTTACATTTTTGTGTTTATGACTACCCATACAGACTAAAAATCAGGCTTGCTCCCAGAAACTTAGCATTATATGTTGTGGAATTTTATCTCACTTGAAGAACAAAAACAAAAATTCTTGCTATTTTCATAATTTTGCAGAAAATATTTTTGTTTTTACATCTCTCTTAAGTATGCATAAAATCAAAAGCTATAATTATGCCATTTAGCTTAGGGACCTTTAAATATCCTTCAGAGAATATCTTGGTGTAAAGTATAAGTTAATAATAATGTATCATATTTAATTATAACTGCTGTTCCTTTCATATTTTTCTTTTCAGAAATTTATCACTATTAATTCACTTTTCTCTGTGGTATTGATCCATTTAGAAATAACTATATAAAGAGCTGTATTCTGGAGAGAATCATGGAAGAGTGAGTGTAGTTGAAGAAGACTGAAAAAATACATTGTCATCTCTTGAAAAGCAGAACTAATGATTCTATAAAAGATAAAAATATACCATTGATTTGATTATAGATAAATATGTGTATTAATAATATATTATTAATACATTAACGACATTATTACCATAAGCTCATGACCTCACAGCTTGGGTGCAAAAATTTGCTTTTGGTTTTGTTCCTCCAATAATCAACACATCTTTTCAATTTTTTTCAAATTTGTCCAAAAATACACTAAAAGAAAAATAGTGACATACAAGAGAAATCAGAGGATACCGCTGCATTCATCTTATGTATCCCTTTTCCAAGAGTATTATTACAAGCATTATTGTATTAAAATGTGTGTGTATTATACTAGATTCCATGAAAAGTAAAAAGTTAAATTGTATTTACACATTTTGGATAGTAACCCCTTATGAGATGTATTGGTGAATATGTTCTCCATTTCCATGGGTTGTCTTTTTATTTTGTTGATAGTTTCCTTTTCTTTGCAAAAACTTTTCAGTTTGATGTAGTCCTATTTGCTTATTTTTTTCTTTTGTTTTCCTTGCCTGAGGAGATATATATCAGATAAAATATTGCTATGAGCAATGTCTGGTATATTACTGCCTATGATTTTTTTTCTAGGTTTTTATGGTTTTGGGTCTAACATTTAAGTCTTTAATCCATTTTGAATTTATTCTTGTGTATGTTGTAAGAAGGTTGTGTAGTTTCATTTTTCTGCATATATCTGTCCAATTTTCCCATCATTTATTGAATAAACTTTCTTTAGCCCATTGTATGTGCTTGCTCACTCTGCTGAATATTAATTAACTATAAAGGTGTAGGTTTATTTCTGGGATTTCTATTCTTTTCTATTAACTTATGTTCTTTTTTCTATGCCACTACCATGCTGTTACAATTACTATGGTCTTACAGTATAGTTCGATAAGTAGCATGATTCCTCCAACTTTGTTCTTCTTTCTCAGATTCACTATTGCTATGTGAGGTCTTTTGTGGTTCCATATAAATATTTGAAATATTTGTTCTAATTCTGTGAAGTATGTCATTTGAATCTTGATAGGAATTGCGTTGAATCTATAGATTGCTTTGGGTAGCATGGGCATTTTAATGATGTTAATTCTTCCTGTTCATAAACATGGTATGTGCTTCCACTTATTTGTACCTTCTTCAATTTCTTTCTTTAGTGTCTTGTAACATCATTGGTTAAATTTATTCCTAGGTATTTTATTTTTTTGAAGCAATCATGAATGGATTGTTTTCTTAATCTCTTTCTGATAGTTCATTGTTGGCATATAAAAATACAACTGATTTCTGGATATTAACTTTGTATCCTGCTACTCTGCTGAATTCATTTATCAGTTCTAGTAGGTTCTTCATGGAATCTTTAGTGTTTTCTATATACAGTATCATGTCATCTACAAATAAAGACAGTTTAACTTCTTGCTTTCCAATTTAGATGCCTTTTATTTCTTCTTCTTGTCTGATTATTGTGGCTAGTACTTCCAGTACTATGTTGAATAAGAAAGTTGAGAGCAGACAGCCCTGTCATGTTCCCAGACTTAAGGGAAACACTTGTAGTTTTTCCCCATTGAGTGTGATGCTGGCGGTGGGTTTGTAACTTATGACCTTTATTATGTTTAGGTATGTCCTCTCTATTCCCATTTTGCTGATGGTTTTTATAAAAATGGGTACTGTATTTTATCAAATGCTTTTCCTGCATCTGCTGGTTAAATCATGTAGTTTTTGTCCTTCATTTTGTTAATGTGGTATATCACATTTATTGATTTGCAAATTTGTACCAAACTTGCATTCCCAGAATAAATCCCAGTTGTTCGTGGTGTATGATCTTGTTGATGCATTTCTGTATTTAGTTGATTAATATTTAGTTGAGGACTTTAGTAACCATGTTCATCAGAGATATTGGCCTATATTTTTCATTCTTTGTAATGTCTTTATCTGGTTTGGGAATTAGGATAATGCTGGCCTTGTAAAATCAGTTTGGAAGTCTTGAATTTTTATAATAGTTTGAAAAGGAGAGATGTTTGTTCTTCTCAGAATGTTTGGTAAAACTGACTTGTTAAGCCATCCAGTTCAGGGTTTTTGTTTATTAGGAGTTTTTTGATTACGGCCTCAGTTTCACTAGTTATGATCTGTCTATTTAGATTCTGTGATTCTTCCTGATTTAGTTTCGGAGGATTGAATATTTCTAGGAATTTATTCATTTCATCCAGGTTGTCCAATTAGTTGGCATATAGTTGTTGATAATATTTTCTTACTCTCTTTTGTATTTCTTTGGTATAAGTTATTATTTCTCCTTTTTCATTTCTGATTTTATTAATTTGAGTCTTTTTTTTTCTTGATGAGTCTGGTTAAAAGTTTATCAATTTCTTATATCCCTTCAAAGAGGCAGCTCTTTGATTCACTGATTTTGAGTATCATTTTTTAATTTTATTTTGTTTATTTATGCTCTGATCTTTATTATTTCCTTCCCTCTACTCAGTTTGGGCTGTGTTTGTTGTTCTTTTTATGTGTAAAGTTAGATTGTTTAATTGACCCTTTTTGTTTTTTGAGATAGGCCTGTAATATTATGAATTTTCCTCTTACGATTGATTTCTTTATGTCCCACAGATTTTGGGTTCTTCTGTTCTCATTTTCATTTGTTTCAAGGTATCTTTTGATTTCTTCCTTGACCTCATTTTTAACCCATTCATTGTTTAATAGCATGTTATTTAGCTTCCATGTCTTTGTGTATTTTTCAATTTTATTCTTGTGATCGATTTCTGGTTCTGTAGCATTGTGGTCAAAGAAGACGCTTGATATGATTTCAATCTTCTTAAATTTACTGAAACTTGTATTTTTCTCTTTACATGTGCCTTATCCTAGAAAACATTCCAATTATACTTGAAAAATATGTATATTCTGCTTCTTTGGGGTTAAATACGCTGAAGATATAAATTAAATCCCTTTGATCAAGTGTGTCCTTTTAAGGCTGCTGTCTCCTTATTGATTTCCTGCCTGGAAGATCTACCCATTGAAGTCAATGGGGTGTTAAAATCCCACACTATGAGTGTATTTCTATCTATCTCTCTCTTTATGTCATTAAGATTTGCTTTACATATTGAGATGCTCCCATGTTGGGTGCATAAATGTTTTGTAGGGTTTCAGCTTCTAGTTGGAGTGCTTCATTTATCATTATGTAGTATCCTTCTTTGTCTCTTACTTTAGGCTTGGTTTTAAACTCTATTTTTCAGATATAAGTATCACTACCCCAACTTTTTTTTCTATTCATTTGCATCAAATGTCTTTTTCCATCTTGTTATCTTTAGTCTGTGTGAACAATTTTCCTGTTTTTTCTTTTTCTTTTTCTTTTTTTAGAAAGCATTTTATAAATAAATTCTTACACAAAGAAGAAAAACAAATTACAGTAAGTACACAAATTATCAGTGAGGTGGACCCTCCAGCCTTTCTTTTCCACAGTGGGAAAACAGATCAGAAGAGAAGAAATGATTCTCTCTTGTTTACTGTTTCCATCTATACTGACAGTTTTTCAAGTAACATTTCTATTCCTCTGCTGGTGTTCTTGTTCTTTTCCAATGTTGGAATCAGGCTTTTCAGTCCAGCTTTGACTTTGTCTGCAACTTCTTGATTAGAACTCTGAAGAAGGCTAGAAAGAATAATGGCACCTCGGTTCACACTAGCCCAGGACTTTAGGTTCTTCATACCAACATGTTCTACAAGTATTTCTGCAAAACAACCTTCTCTTCCATTTTCTTTCATCTTTTTATCTTGCTCTATTAACCACTTCAGAACAAGATGTCCCGCAGGATGTTCTGCAATGTGAAGCTCTCCATTTTTGCCACCAGGATGCAGTTCTGATGCCGCCAAGCTGGCAATGGCATTCATGGCAGGCTGAACGTCTCCAATGGCAGCTCCCAGAAGGTCAGACACCAACACACATGCAGACTTATCTAGCACCACCTCCTGGGCATGATCTTGCAGGTAACTTAACAAAAGCTGGAGAGATGGATTCTAGGAGCTCTTGGCTTTGGATCTCTGGATCTTTCTTACTGTGCGCGTTTCCATCTCCCTTCTGCAGAACTTCAATGATTTCTCATACTGTATGTGCAGGATCTCTGGGGCTTAGTAGGTACAACAGGACCTTCTTTCTGTACTTGTCATTTATTATGTTAGGCAAGGAACTAATAATATCTGATATGATTATTTGCTTCACAAGTTTAGTATCATCAATACAATCAAATGCTGCCAATAAAACCAAATGGGAGTACTGGCCATTAGCCACCTTTTCGACATAAGTCTTCATTGTTTTCACAATCACTTTCCTGTCCTTGGGCGTGCCGTGCCACAGGCAGTGCGTGGCCACTCTGGCTCCATCATATGTGTGCGCTAGGTATATCACCGCTTCACGGATGGCTTCGATCATTTCTGATCTTTGCTTTGGTGGTGCATAGCTAAAAAAGTCCAAGAATACTTTATGTACCAATGAGTGCTTAATCACAGCTTCCTTTTGAGCCATTGGAGTTAGAATCTGTTTCATTTCATCCATGATAAGCTCTAGTTTTTCTGGCTGAACTTCTAATACTTTGTCCAGAGTTGGGTGATCTGCTGATTTGTAAAGCTGAAACGTGTTCCCATAGAGCTCCTCTGTCAACATGTTCCTCTGCTCCAAAACAGCTTTGTCATTGTACGCGTACTCCACGATGGCTGATTCTTCCGCATGTCAGAGCATCTTCCTCACATGGCCTTTAAAACTTCGTATTATCTCTGCAATCTTTGGTTTACTCCCATACATGAGAAATTTGTTAACAACATTTCTGGAATATGTAGCTTTACTTAGTTCAACCAAATCATCTCGTAGTTCTTCAAAAGCCTGCTTTTTCTGTTCTTCATTGCCATACTGAATATAACACTGGATCACACGGGTTGAATCATGTGCAAATGCAATAGTTTTAATTTTTCCTTGAATCAACTTCTGCAAATCACTTAGCAACTTCATTCTTTTTTCTTTGTCACAATCTTTTCTTCGTATGATCTCCCAAATCTCCTTTGCCCGAACAACAATGTCATAGTTGGTTCTATCACTGAGTTGTCTGCTTTGCTTCAGTTCTTTCTTCTTCTTTTTGAAATCATCCCATTTGGGTTTCTTGGCTGTTGATTCATCACTTTTTCCATCTGGTTGGAATTTTCTCTCCTTGTTGAATTTATTTGCCTGCTGGAATTTGTTCTCTGGTACTTTATCTCCTTGCTCCTTATTCTTGACCTGCCTCACACCTTTTTTCCCTGGTTTTGTGGCACTTTTCTGAAACTTCTTTGATGTGATTTTAGGCCCACCTTCCTTAACAACTTTTCTTGGGAATGTCTTTGATGAACCAGAATCATTATTTTTATAAAATCCGTTTTTCTCTTGGGATGTCTTTGTACCTTTTCCTGTGAATTTTTTTTTTTTTTTTTTTTTTTTGGTGTGACTTCCATCATGGCAACTCGCACATGTGTGGTTCAGTCAGAAGTATCTTTTTCTTTTTCTTTTTCTTCTCCTTCTTAAAGCAAGCCTTTTAACACTTCTTTTAACAGCAGTACTGGTTTGATGTTAGCAAACTCCTTTATCTTTTTCTTGTCTGGAGAGCTCTTTATTTCTCCTTCAATTTTAAATGATAGCCTTACTAGGTAAAGTAGCCTTTGTTGTAGGTTCTTGTTTTTCATCACCTTGATTATTTTAGGCCAATCCCTGCTGGGCTGAAATGATTCTGTTGAGAAATCAGATGACAGCTTCATTGCAGTCCCCTTGCAGGTAACTAACTGCTTTTCTCCTGTGGCTTTTAGGGTTCTTTTCTTGTCTTTGAGCTTTGCCATTTTCATTATGATGTGTCTTGATATAGGCCTTTTTGGACCATCTTGTTAGGAACTCTCTTAGCTTCCTAGACTTTTTCTTTTACTAGGTTGGAAAATTTTCAGTCAATCTTTCTTTAAATAGATTCTTGATCCCTTGCTCACTCTCTTCTCCTTCTGGTATTCCCATGATTCATATGCTGTTATGCTTCCATTACTCATTTTCATTTTTCTTAATATATTCTTAATATATTCTGCAGGAGCTATCTATCTCTACTTATATTTCTCTAACATCAAGTACACGTTTGTGCATAGAGTAGAAGCTCACAAAAATAATACTATTGACAGTTCTACTTCTAGATAGTCTTACTACCTGAAATATAGTACTTCAATTTTTTTAGGCAATAAGCAAATTTTTATGAAATGTCTTCTCTATAGCAGAAACTACATAGAGAACACAAATGTTACTATAATTTGATATTCTCCCTTATCACCATCTTGAAGAAAATCACAGTCAACTTGGGGCGATAGTCCTATAAATGCATATATGCATAAGGTATAGGTACAGAAAAGAGTTTAGTGATGGCCAGAGGGAAGGGGAGTGGGGACTGGGCAGAAGGGGCAAAGAAGGGGAAATGGGGGCATTTGTAATAATGTTAACAATAAAAATAAAGAAAAAAAATTTAAAAATGGATCCAGGGTAAAAAGGAAAAAGAAAAAAAGAAATGGACCCAGACTAATGAGAGAGAGAGAGAGAGAGAGAGAGAGAGAAGATGTAACGTAGAATGAAGGATAGATAAATACCTGTGACAGCAATTAATATTTTGCTAATTCAGAGAATTATAATATTATTTGTTTAGCATTCTAATGTGTGGATATATTTAAAATAAATTTCAGCAGTATATAAGGCTATTAGCAGATAGTCATGTAATCTGTTTTACTGGCATGTAAGATATTACCAAGAGTTGGCATAGTTTTGTTGGTCTAGGGCAGTATTTTAATATGTTTTGATTTAGGTTAAGCCTGCTATTTTAAGTTTTCACAGTCCTTATTGTTTACTGGATGCTCATATACTTTTAGTCTGTCACGTGATTGCACTTAAATTTGTAAGCTGTAATTCAGTTGGGGTAGTAAAGCAAGCACAGACATAACAATAAAAACAAAGCAAAAAGAGTAAAAGATAAAGCTTTAAAATATTTGTATAGCCTCTGAGATAAGAGAAAAGATTACTTTTAGCTTAAGAGAAGTAAACACAATACTTCATAAGGATGGTAGAATTTTTCTAGGTCTTAACATTGATAAAGATAGGTGAGAATGCTTCTAAAAACAATAATAAAGGGAACAGGAAATGATCTCTGAAAGATTTATAATTCTATCCTCCTAGATCTTTATAAATCCATTTACATATTTATAAGATTTCTATTGGATGGTGCCTGACATTAAAATAAGATTCCTTATAGTATTTTAAATCTGATGTAAAAATAAATAGAGCCTTAGATTTTTTTAGGATTATGGGCTAATGAAACAAGAAGGAGAGAAGGAAGAAAGGAAGGAAAAAGAGGAAGGAAAGAAGGAAGGAAGGAAAGAAGGAGGAAAGGAAGGAAGGAAGGAAGGAAGGGAGGAAGGGAGGAAGGGAGGAAGGGGGGGAGGGAAAGAAGGAAGAATGAGGCAAGGAGGGAGAGGGAGGGACCTCCAGCAGTTGTAATTACATCAAAAGCTCTAGGAAAAACAGGAGTGCTCTTTCTGTTTTGCAGGTATCCACAGGCAGCAATTCTATGCTTATCTCTGTTTTATATTCCAGAGTTTAACAGGCCCCTGTGACAATTGGTTCTGTATAGATAAAGGACAACTCAAGGACTAAGAGGAAACTGAAATAAAGTTCCTATGCATAGGAGCTTTTATTTTCCTATATTCCATTTGAGTTTATTTCAATATGTTTATTACTTCTATTTTTATTCTAGTACCAAAAAACTATTAGTTACTTTTATTTTCTCATTGCATATTAGAAATGTTTCAGAGAGTCAACCTAGGTTATGTGTCAAAAATTAGCTTTGGCTGTTTTTCTCCTATAGACCCTGTATATAGAGTGTTGTCTACCAAAAATCCTATGTTATTTATTTACTTTTATCATCAAAAAGTGCTACACAACAAATAATCAGGGAACATTGAAGAGAACATTGCTATCTGGAGTAATCATAGTATATTTGCATATCACTGGAAAAACCTAAGAAACAACAATTTGCTTAATAATCAATCCTTTTAATGACATACATTTACTTTCTCTTATATTTTGGGCTTTCAAAAACAGTTTGCTACTACCTTATTGTAGAGTAATAAAGAAATCCCAAGTTGTCAACACTCTTTTCATGGTCAGAAAATGACAAGGCTAACAATATTCACAATTTTGCAAAACCTCCATTTTTTTCTGTAGGTTCTAATTATAGGTCAAGATTTTCAAACATGCTGTTTGTTAATAAACTGAATATCAGGTAGCTAGATTTGAAGGGATCATGTAAAATAAATATGTAAGGGAAAACTTTTCAAGAGTTTGGTTTTAAGTATAAGCATACTAGATTATTTCATTATTTTATAATTAAATTAAAATTTTTATAGCATTAGATAGTTTTGATGATCCATGTTAAATATAAAATGGTAATCAAAATAGGAAGGATCACAATATCTAACATCAAATTATATTACAAAGCTACTGTAATCAAAACAGTCTGGTACTGGCATAAGAACAGACACATAATCAATGGAACAGAATAGAGAGCCCAGAAATAAACCCATGTCTCTATGGTCAATTAATATTCAACAATGGAGCAGAAGCATAAAAAAGAGTAAATATATCCTCTTCAACAAATGGCATTGGGAGATCAGAACAGCTATATGCAAAAAAATGAAATTCGACCACCAACTTACACTATACACAAAAATAAACCCAAGATGGATAAAATACTTAAGTATAAGTCACAACACCATAAAAATCCTAGAGAAGAACATAGGCAGGAAAATCTCAGATATTCCATGCAGCAATATTTTCACTGACATACCTGTCCCCTAGAACAAGAGACATAAAGGAATGAATGAACAAATGGGACTTCATCAAAATAAAAAGCTTCTGCATGGCTTAAGAAAACATCAGCAAAATGAAAAGGGAGACAACTGTGTGCGAAAATATATTTACCAATGATACCTCAGACAAGGATTTGATCTCTAAGACATATAAAGAACTCACATGACTCCACTCCAGGAAGATAAATAATCCAATTAAAAAATGGGCAAAGGACCTGAACAGACACTTCTCCAAGAAGGACATACAGAGGGCCCAGAGACATATGAAAGGATGTTCCGCACCACTAGCCATCAGAGAGATGCAAATTAAAACCACAATGAGGTACCATTTCACACCCATCAAAATGGCCATTACAAACAAATCAACAATCAGTGTTGGCCATGTTATGGAGAAAAGGGAACCCTAGTGCATTGTTGGTGAGAATGCAGACTGGTACAGCCACTGTGGAAAACAGTATGAAATGTCCTCAAAAAACTAAAAATGGAACTGCCTTTTGACCCAACAATGCAACTGCTGGGATTATACCCTAAGAATCCTGAAGCACCAATTCAAAAGAACCTATGCACCCCAATGTTCATAGCAGCACTATTTACAATAGCCAAGTGCTGGAAGAAAACTAAGTGCTCATCAGTAAATGAGTGGAACAAAACACTTTAGTACATTTACACAATGGAATACTACACAGCAGAAAGAGGGAGCTCCTCCCTTTTGTGACAGCTTGGACAGAACTGGAGAGCATTATGCTAAGTGAAATAAGCCAGGCAGTGAAAGACAAATACCATATGATCTCACCTATAAGTGGAACCTAATCAGCAAAACAAAGAAGCAACCAAAAATTTAACCAGAGGCATTGAAATGAACAAACTGCCAGTAATCAGAGAGGAGGCTGGTGGGAGATAATGGGGCAAAGAAGGGGAAGGGTCATCAAGGAACATGTATGAAGGGTCCATGGACAAAGCCAAAGAAGGGTAGGATTAAGAGTGGGGGGGGGTTAGGTGGGGGAGAGTGGTGGAAGAAAAATGGAGATAACTGCACTTGAACAACAATAAAAATTCAGACTCAAAGTATGAAGAAAATCCCTAAGATAAATTACTAAGACAAAACAATTTTCTTGGGAAAAAAATGGTAATTACTAATGGATTACATGGGAGGAATAATTTCTGATAAATTTGAAAATATGAACTAAATTTAACTATATCATATTTGGTTTACAAATTGGCCCCTTTACATGGTGGGCAAGGAATGCCCATAAAAAGAGGCAGGCCACTCCAGATGGGTAGGTGGTAGGTTTAATAAACAAGGGAACTTATATATAAGTCTTATCTTACATGCTACAAAAAAAAAAAAGAATGCATGTCCCCACTCACCACCAGAATCTTAGAAGTTTACATAGAGAACTAACTTGGGTTCAATTATATATTCAGTCCATAGTCTCAAAAACACATTGCCCTCTCAAGGTTGCATCCTTGAAAATGGCTCCTTCTGCGGGAGTATAGGCAGAACATAAAATCCAAAGACAGGGGAGGGGTTCCGATTGACCAGATCTAACTTTTTTTTAAAGCA